ATAATTTTGTGCAACCCATTTAAGCCACCTCTTAATCTTGGGCAGTGTTTTCAAGATGTTAATTTTGGAAGGCCAAAAAATTGTTAATTATGAATTCATATTAAATTATATAAAAAGTAGAATAAATTCATAAATTTATTAAATTTAAAAACTTCGTGTAAATTGAGCACACTTGCAAAGTTAGATGTTGTTAGGTATAGTTTCTTTCTTTCTTTCTTGCATTTTCTTTGAAGACTTGCTTATAAATAAATTTGTCCCCCTAGATTGAAATGTTTTAAAGGAGGACTTTAGTAAGTCCTAAAGCTACTCCAATTTTAGGATGACATTAAACAATTTTGGGTAGATGTTTGGATGGAATATATATATACCCACTCCCTCAAGATTATCACTAATTTATTTAGGTAATTGATCATTTTTTTTCTTACAATTATGATAGCTAACTAGTTTTTGCACTAAATAACCTTAAAAACGTATTCCATGTCAATTTGATGTATTCAAAAAAACTTAATTTTCTTAAGTATTAACTTTAAAGTTTAAACTTTGAATTTATACCTAGCTTATAAGAACACTTGCTTACAATTTAGTGTATATTAATATAACTATTTCATCAGAAATTTAATCTAGTTGAAATTTAATCTGAAGACGATGGAGATGGACATGATTGTAGCCAGGATAGAGATGGCCAGAATATCTTAGAATACTCAGGATAAGATGCCAGCGGTGCTCCCTTCCTTTCCGATAACTTAAATACGCCGATCCACTTATTATTGCTTAGATTTTCCCCATCACAATCTATATTGAATTTGTTGATTCCGAATGGAGCAGAGTCATTAACAAAATAAAGGCAATCAGGTTCTAAGCCGGTTAATTCTCTAGCGGAAACAGAAAATGAGCAATCGTTTCCAAGAAAGAACACTTGATCACCAATACTGTTAACCTCTTGAAAAATACGCAGCACTTGGTTCAGCTTAAAGAACCTAAAATCAGCCCTCTCGCACGTTGAAGAAGAATGTCCACGGCTATAACTGCAACATGAAATTCCATTGGGTTTACCGTAAACCAAGAAAAGGTCCCCAGAAGACTTAACCAGGCGAAAATAAGCAAGTATCCTATTCCTATTACCTTCGTTCGTCACTTGAAAAATTCCATCACCCACCATGGCAGGTCCAATAACCTTAATCAACTGCAGAGATAGTTCTTCCCATACAAAAAGCCTGCTAGATGAATCCACAGCATAGAACTTCTCATTGAAATGGATAACATCATGAATGTGCTTACCAACTACAGACCAGTTATCATCTCCTAACAGATTAGAACACAAACGACCTAAAGGACGGGGATCACCAGTGGATGAATTGGGTCTCGACGACAGAGCCACTCGAGACATACGACCACCAATACAACTACCACGCAAAAGGAGTATGCCTACTTTTGTATACCTTGCACAACTCTGAGACATGAAAATCTAGCAAGTTTAGAACTTTGGGAAACCCACAGGGCAGTGCTCTGACAGATCGATTCGACAGTACGGGTTTTCAACGCGAGTACGCTCGGAAATTGTCTCTTCGTTTCTGGGCAACCAACTGCTGCTGTTATCCGGGTTCGAGTCAGTAGCCAGAGGACTAGATTATGCTTTGAAACAGAAGGAGGCTGGATTCGTGTGGATCTTTTTGCCTTATGATGCAGAAGAAGGAGATGGATAAAGGAGGGGATCCGCGAAAGGGAGGGATGGAGGAGCGCCATGAAGCGCAGACGGAGCGTAAGCTGAGGATGTCGATTCGAGTTTGAAGTTTTTCAGCGATTAGAGACAGTAGATCTTTCGGGAGATCGGCCCACCCCCCTGAGCTCATGTCTTTCCATCACCGTGGCCGGATTTCTTCTTCTTTGAATCCGAAACCTAGTCAATTTGACAAGTTGCAGAAGAAATCACAATAAATTTGCATGAAGAACCTTTTTTTTTTAATCCAAACCACGATTTTCCCTCCGCATTTTTCTTTTTAAATTCATAAAAGAACGTTCGCTTCCAGGACAGGGGAGAAAAGGAAAGAAAATAGAGCCAATAACTCGTAATTAAGTATTTAAATTTTTACATTAAAAATTTTAAATTTAAATAATGAAATAGAAACCGATAACTCAATTCGATTTGTTAAAATAAGTGAAAATTTTGTACACGAGATTTAGTTTA